CTTGCTTATTTGCTTGGCACTGACAGTCCATACATCTGGTCATCCGTAAACGATACAGGTGGGTTTGTTTAGCAAATGGCCGTGTCCTCATATTCTATAATGTTTGCTGCAACTAGACAGCAAAATGGTGCAGCAAGAAGTTGCTTTATGCCACAAAATTTGCAACAACAAAGCTACTTTAATGGAAGAAAAAAAAATTAGAAAAAACCACCTTTCTATGGATTCCAATAGGTTTTGTTGTGAAATCCCTCTTCCATTTTTAGCCAAATCACTCAACAAGTGATGAAGGCATATGGTAGGCCCACTATAGCTCAAGATCAAGCATAGTGAGGAGATGGTGTGAAGAGGCAAGCTGGACCAACAAACAGAAGGTGTTCATGGATTCTACAGCCAGCAGTCCAAAGAGAAAAAGAATGTTTGTCAAGGGTGCAGCTTGAGAAAGGAAGAAAACTCAGAGAATGCATCAAGTCATGTTCACCATAAAGTTGAATCTAATCTACGACCCTAAGGAAGCTGTAGTAAAAGAAGAAAACTGAGAAACTTACGGGAAAGCTTAGCAAAGCTCCAAAAATTTGTTAAAGCAGCAAATATAAGCAAGATGAAGCTGCAGCATTGAAGGATGAGCTAATATGCTAAAGGAGATGGCCTTAGCAGCAACAACAAATCAAAACCAAAGCATAAAGAATTGCAAATGGTAGATTCCAAATGCTTAGGTAAATTTCTTGTTTCCCGCAGCTTTAACACCAAGGAGGAGTGTTGGAATTGTGGTGTCAAAGCTGCACAAGTGGCAGCAAATGAAAAGAAAGCTGCACAAGTGGCAGCAAATGAGAAGAAGGGAGAGCTGCACCAATAGCACCAATAGCACGGTAGCAGCCAAGTGCAACAAGCTAAGCTGTAAATGTTGATAAAATGAGGCTGCAATGAACAACAAATGCAATGCAAATGCAAATGAAAGACTACAAGAGTCACAGCAACATGGAGCCGCACAAATGGCAGCAAATCCTTTAATGTAATTTTGCAGTAAATGTTTGATAGATTTTCATGTATTAGATAAATATTAGGGTGAGAAAATTACTCTTGTATTAAGAAATTTTTGCTATATAAGGGCAGAAGATGAATGAAAAAAAGGGGTTCTGATCTAGGGATGGCAATTTCCTCCACGACTCGCGAGGTTCACGGAGATCCCCATTATGGGGATGGAGATTCCAAAAATATTCTTTCCCGTGGGGCGAGGATGGAGGCATTTTTTTCCTCGTGAAATTTCATGGGGAATTTCCTCCACCCCGTGGGGATCCATATAAAATAAAAATATATATAAATTTATATATATATTTATAAATATATTAACAATTAATTTTTACTTACTCAACCTAATTAGCCAATCCAATACCAATACAACCTAAATTTCACAATCCATTCTTTTTTCAATTTTCCCAAACCCAATTGTCAAGTCCAGCCTATTCTTTTTGTCAATCTAGTCTCCCTAAACCTAATTGCCCAACTCAATTTCCATTGGTAACCCTAGAAGGACTATCCAAAGATTTCAATTTGAAATTTGGGATTCCTCTTCTTCGACTCTATGTTATAACTTTGTTTCTGCTCCTCAATCCTCATTTGTGATTCTCTTCAAGCTTTCACTGTCACTACCCATTGTGCAACCACTGCAACGCTGATCTTCTCCCATCTCTCACTCACAGTCGACTTGATAGCTCTTCTCCAATCTCTCAACCAGTCACTAGTAACTTATCTCTTTTATGCCATTTTTCTTAATGAACTTATTGCTGGACATGTGTAGCAACAATTTATGTATTTTTTTCTATGAACTTTGCTGATGACAGTTGCAGTTTATGCTTTTTTTTTTTTTATGAACCTTTTGCTGGATTTGTTGGACTTATATGGCAGTTTATGCCTTTTTGCTTTATGAACTTGTTGCTGACTTGTTGGACCTGCTTGACATGTATATATTAGCTGTGTATATTTACTACTTGTTTGTCTTATTTCAAATTTTTACTTTATATTATTATTTGAACTAGTTTTATTTAATGAAGGCCGAAGGGGCTATTTGCACCCTCCACTTAATTGTTTTTCACGGTCAACACCTTCCAAAATTTTTCCTTTCTATTCACACCCTCAACTTTTCAAAACTCGTGAAAAACCCAACATTTTAATGTGCCGTCACGGTACCGTTACAAATTGCACTATGTGGCACTATATGCCATTAATAATCCAATGTGGATCTCTTTTTTAATGATGTGGCTTATTTTACACACATGTGGATGCCACATCATTAAAAATAAATGTGCATAACCATTTTGGGAATTTAGGGTTTATTTTCATCCCCTTCTTAATCTTCCTCGAGCTTTCCATCCATGGTTCTAATGGAGATTGATTCAAATTGAAAAAAAAAAAGAACAATCTTTTAATTCATTTGCAAGAAAAGTTGAGAACCAATCAAAGAATCAAATCGTCATCTTATTATTCTATCATAACCAGAAACAATCACAGAAAAGAAAGGCGAAAGAAAGGTACAAACTGGGTTCCTCACGAACCCAGCTCTGTGGAACCTAGAGCTGGGTTCGGCAAAAAAAACTAGCCGTAAGCCCCCCCCCCCTTGACTCTGATCTTCATCATCCCATCATCATCGATCATCACTCTTATCACCATCACCCTCATCAATCCCCAAGCAACCAAAAAA